CGACGTGCTCCCCACCCACCACTTCTACCCGTCAGATTACGTCACATGGGACGAGCACGCATTGACGCAAGCCCTGCAGAGAGCCAACCCAGCGGGCTGCCGACGTGACCAGATCACTGGCGGCCTCTACAACGCCCATGGGTCGCCTATAAATACCTGAGCGTAGTGGACGTGTGGAACGTCCAGGTATACTATTACAACCTGGACACCGTGAAGACGACGTGGGACGACCCAGGCAACGTGTTACTGGCCGCGCGATGGAAGCGAGCCGTGTCCTGCGAGAGCGACGAGTGTTTCTACGACGACAGGGGACACTTCTTGAATTGCCCACCCATCGCCACGCGGGACCGCGTGTAACCTCTGCTTCCACCACCACCACTACCTCCACAGAGACCCAGATTGAGATCTTCATCGCCACTGGCACGATCAGATTATGTAGATATTCTAGTCCTCGGAACCACCATCAAGCGGCACCGAAAACGAGCCAGACTTCAGGAACGACGTGGACAACTAAAGTTCGCAGTCGGCTTCCTCGACGACCAAGCGGCGGAGACGGCCAGTACTGAGAGCCCACGAAGACGCCCGCTGACTCCATTGCTAAGCAACCAGAACGACAACCTGGTTGCACAGGAGGGCGTCCTACGGATCATCGGAGAGATCCAGACCTCCCAGCCGAAGCAGGAGCCAGCAAGCCACCCAGCCGGCGGCGCCGCAAACACGATGAGCCAAACACCCACGCAGCCGATCGTGCACGGTCACCAAGACGGAGCAAGCAGCAGTCACATGGCAGTTCCACCGGCACAACAAGACCCGCGGACACCGAGGCCGATAGCTGCACCACCAACGCCCATCGACAGCATCAACCTCCTAGAACCATCACGTGGGCCAAGGCACAAGGCATCTCTACCGACCTACAACAGTATTCGTACCATTTGCACAACGCGGAGCAAGGAGGAGGACACACCATGGACAGGTCGAATCTGACACGCGAACACGATCGAGCGCAAGAAGTACCGTTGAAGCCACCGCCAGCGACTCCGCCAAGAAGCGTGGGAACCGCGCCCGACAGCGCCACTACCGATGCAACGGCGACACTTTCGACAGCACGACGGGTGGTAAAGGCCAGCGCCAACAGCATCCTTGACTCAGGCACGTTGTCTGAGATGGCCCCGCTACCTACGGGGTCCACGCGACCAGCGATGAGATCGGGCAGCAGAGTAAGTGAGCAGCACCAGGGCTTAATCGACCGCTTGGCCGACAGCGTCAGCACCAGCCAGCATAGCTGTGAACCCAGGGAATTCAAGATACGGACCCACAAGGCCACCTCGGACTACTGCGAGAAGATGGGCGACGCGAACAGCACGTTCGACTTGGACACAGCGGCAGACCCCAACAGTCGGCACGAGTACGAACAAGTCATATACACCCTAGGCGATGCGTGAGAAAACTGAAGTTTTCGGCCAGAGTCTCGATTATTCTTAACGTTTCAATGTAAATCCCAAGATTCTAATAGAAATGTTGGGTTGTTATTCAAATTCTGAGACTATGAATTTCTTAACCCATGATTTCTTCAGCATCTCGCATGGTGTACTACGCGGAGGCGCCACTGCACAACGGCCTCCCCGACGAGGGACGAAGCGAGGCTCGGATGCTCCGCCGGACCGCCGCCGGACCCACCTCGCCCAGCTTGCTAGCCACCAGCTTGCGATATCATGTGATGGTGCGCCAACCTCCTCCCTCCTCCCTCCTCCTCCTCCCTCCTCCCCCTCCTCCTCCTCATCCTCCTCCATCCTCCTCCTCCTCCTCCTCCTTCTCCTCCACCTCCTCCTCCTCCTCCTCCTCCTCCTCCTCCTCCTCCTCCTCATGGCGCTTGGCGTCGGTATGTCGACTCACGCGACATACCGACGCCAAGCGCCAGGACTGCCCAACGGCAGGGCATGCTCACGTCCATCGAGCTGGCTGCACGCTACAGCCCGACCTCCACAGCGACGCCCTTCCCAAGTGTTCGCTGCCAGAGCACAACCACGACAGCAGCAAGGCAGAAGACAACCGAGCTCATCGTGGCACGAGGCCCTAGAGACCAGACAGGGAACCACGGCGAAAAAACATAGCGAAATAACGCAGTCCAGCCACCAGCGCACCACAACTCCACCCACCCCAATCCCGACTCAACGATCGACAGCCAAGCCGACCCACAAATCGCACAGCGACGGTGTGACCCACCCGCGCAGGAGCAACCAACGCGGAATGAGGAACTGAACCAGAGCAAAGAGCTCCACAGCCTTGCCAGGTGGGCGCCAGCCCTGGCAGAATTCGCAGCGCTGCAGCAACAGTGGCTGATCCAACAAGCACCGCCAAACGCAGCAGCCGCAAGCAGGCAACCACACCAGCAGGAAGCACCGAGTCTGGATAAGCCCAACATCTAGACACTACCCGACCAACGACCGACATACCTGGGAGCCAGCAAGCGACGGACCCGCAAAACCTGGTGCAACTGACAAAGTCAGAAGAGTGCAACCAGACCAAGGAGCCACCAAGACGCGACAGGTGGAACACAATTGCATGGATCAAATCGACAGCAGAGCTCATCAAGTTCAGCGGCATCGACCAGACCATAACGGCCGTTGAGGCAATGGACGACGCCAACAACCACACCCAGCCGACGGAGGGTTCCGGGCGACACCGACACACATATATATATATATACACACATATATATACACATATATATACATAGAGGCTTACAACCGCAGGCGACCACCAGCCGACGGCGATCATCAGGCCCACAGCCAGGGCACATACAAGGACACTGACCTTGAGGACGCCTCCGCCCCCGCCCCCCGGCCACCCTGGGCAGTTGAGTGCAAACAATACCGCCATGCCCGCCAGTTCGTCGCCCCTACGGCAAATCAGGGAACCCTACCTTGATTGCCAACAGCCAACTGGACAGGCCTTGCAGCGGCACGTCAGTGCGCCTACCTCCTCAGTGTGCACGTCGTATCCAACTTTGCTCCGCGCAGACAGTCTCCCGCGCCAGCTGCTACCTCCCGGCTCCATACCTCGGCACTATTCCAGTACCCAGCAGCACGCACCGACGCGATCAGCAGCAGCACAGCTGGGCGCACCATCTCCAGACTCACATCCGACGGCAGCAGCAAGCGGATCCTCAGGCCCAACCAGCGACGACTACGCCAGGAACATATGCTATGCTGTGGGTCCCCGAGAGGCATGCTCGCCCACGCAGCTATGCTAGATCATCCGGCGCGTCACGCAAAGCCTCGGCAGACGTCAACGGCATCCGTGGAAGATATGCTATACGTGGGTCCCCCAGGGGCATTCTCACCCACAGGCTATGCCGCCGCAACCGACGTGCGTTGAGAGACGGCCTCGCCAGCCTCCAGCCGTCCCTCCCTCCTGGCTGCCTCCTCGTGCCCGTTCCCCCTGGCGCACCGCGCTAACCTTCTCAGCCCCCACCCCTGTGGCGGAGGGACAGGTAGGGCGGTGCGTTGGCGAGGGGAATGACGTGATCTCACCGCCGCAGGCCGCCCTGGCAAGGGCCTAGGCGGCCGCGGCAGGTAGCGGCGCGCCATTCACTGTCCCCGACGCGGGCCCTGCGCCAGCACTACCTCCTCTGTCCAACAGTGCCACAGCTACGATGTTGGCAGCGACAGGCACCTTCTCCCACCCGTGCAGCTCTGATGTGCAGCTACAGACGACACACCCGACCTCCAGCTCTGGAGGCAGTCGCGACCTTAGGTCGCCTGCCAAAACATTACATGAGGGATGGGGGGTGATGTAGGGTTGGGAAAGATGGATGGGGTCATGGTAACACCGTGCCGCCGCTACGGAAGGCATGAACCTTCCCCGCGTTCGGTGGAATCCTTCAAGCGGCCCCCACCTCCGCGAGCAGGGTGCCCTACTCCTGCGTTGCAGGGGAGGGCACCAGTCGCGGGGATGGGGATCGTTTCGGGGTTTCCTTCTATGCAGGGGCAGAGGCCCTTATACCTTCCCCTTTGGCGTGCATGGCCGGCCGCCCACTCCGCGCGAGAGTAGCGCCCAGCGACCGCCAGGAAGGCCCGGACTTTCCTGGCGCTCGGTGGAACCCCTGAGGGGCCCCGAGGTCACCGTCGACGTGCTGGGAGCCCCACGCTTGCTTGCAGGCGAGGGATCCCGCCGTTGGCCTCCGGGTCCCCTTTTTGGGGGGATCTCTATGGGCAGAGGAAGAGGCCCTCGGGCCTTCGATCTTGGCGAGCGTGGCCAGAGTTCGCCGCCGCCACAGACCCACCCGAGCGCCGTCTGCTTCGCCGCGTCGCTGACCGAACCCGCCGAACCCGCAACCGATGCTCCGATGGTTATTGGCGCTGGCCAGGGCTGCCGCTGCCGGCAGCGCCGCCAACTGCCGCGAGTTGGCACCGACCTGCTTTTCTTGACAGCGACTGCAGCGCTTCCCCCTTGCCTGTTGCAAGAAGGAGGGCGCCTCCACCGTGGGGGGGCCCTACGGCGCCCCCCAGGGGCACGGGCCCCGCGAGGCCAGGGGACCCAAAAAGAAGAGAACCTTTCTGCCACGGGCCCTGCAGGCCCTCACGCGTGCCACGCGTTTCCAGCCAGCTGCTGTCGCGAACCTATTCCCACCTCCCCTCCCCCTCTTTCGAGGTACTGACATCCCTTTCCTCCCTCCTTCTTTCTGTCTGTCTACTTCAAATTGTCGTTCCGCGATCTTATTATACTCCCCATTGGCTGGTTTTGGCCAGCCTGGGGGAAGCGGCATCATTCAGAGAACACCAATGCCGACAGGAAAGAAAAGGATGGGGAGCAGGAGGAGAAGGAAGACGACGAGGAGGAGGAGGAGGAAGAAAGCGGCAGCATTCGGAAAACACCATTGCCGTCATAAAATGCGGAAATCGGGGGGGAGGAAAGGAGGAAGAGGAGGAGGAGGAGAAGGAGGATGAGGAAGAGGAGGAGGAGAAGGAGGAGGAGGAGGAGGAGGAGGAGGAGTCCAGGCCTTGTGGTTCTCCGCTGTGCGGAACGCCCTGAAGATCTGCGCGCGGCTGCTGTGCGTGCGCAGGAGCGCGCCGCAGTGCTGGGCCTTCGCCCGGTCGGACTCGGAAGAGCCCAAAGGCAGCGCTCAGCCCCTGACGGCAGCGTGATGTTCTCGCGCCGCCCCCCTTACAGTATCGGGGGTAGTAGCAGGACGCTGGCCAGCATACACGGTCTATCGCCCACGTCAGCGTCCGACGACGCCTTCTTTCCCGCCCCCCCCTCCTCCTCCTCCTCCTCCTCCCCCTCCCTCCTCCTCCTCCTCCTCCTCCTCCCTCCTCCTCCTCCTCCTCCTCCTCCTCCTCCTCCTTCCTCCTCCTCCTCTTCCTCCTCTCCTCTCCTCCTCTCTCTCCCTCTCCCTCTCCCCTCCTCCTCTCCTCCCCCTCCTCCTCCTCCTCCCTCCTCTCCTCCTCCTTCTCCTCCTCCTCAGCGTCCGACGTCGCCCTCCTTCCCGCCCTCCCCTCCTCCCTTCATTCCACCGCCGGACAGGCAGACCAGTCCGAAACCAGCTTGGGTCGTGTCGCCGTGTCTTTCTCGCGGCGAAAATCTTCCACGGTCGAGAGAAAAGCCCCTCTCCTGGCAGAAGCTCTTCCCCGCCCCCGCACGGAGTTAGTTTTCGTTGCGTGGGCCTTTGGGCCTTCCGACGGAGTCCCAGGCAATGGTAAGTCGATCAATCAGTCGGTCCTCCTCCTGATCCCGGCTCCTCCTGCTTCCTCTTCTTCCCTTCTCCTCCTCCCCCTCCTCCTCCTCCTCCTCCTGCTCTTCCTCCTCCTCCTCCTCCTCATCCTCCTCCTCCTCCTCCTCCTCCTCCTCCTCCTCCTCCCCCTTCTCCCTTCCTCACCCTCCCTCTGCCTCCTCATCCTCCTCCACCTCAACCTCCTTTCATTCCTTCCCCCCCTCATCCTTCCTCATCCTCCCTTTCTGGAAGATGGGCCCCAGAGCTCCTCTGTGACCTCGGGCTGGTCTTGCCCGCAGCGGCCCCGTGTCGTCGCTATCGTCGTCGGTGTCTTCGTCGCATTCGACGTTTCACTCCAGCACAGCCAGGAGCGAACTGCAGACTGCCGTCTCACCGTTCAGCCAGCCTCTCTCCTGGGTGCACGGGGTTCTTGTGCATTTGTGTTGCTACAACGGTTCTTCGCGTGAGTCGTTGCAGGCAGGCGTGCATGTGCGCGCTTGGCTATGGAGGTCCATGTGGCGTTCATTAGAGCCAGGCGTAGATAAAAGAAGAGCGCACGATCGCGGTGTGCAAGTTCATATTTTCTGTCGTGCCTTCCCCTCCCGCCCCCTCCCGTTCATGATCGCTCAGGGGCCCTGCTGCGAGCCTCAGCGTAGCTTCAGCGAGTTTGTGTTGTGTTTTCTGTCTTCCGTCTTTCAAGTCTTCAAAGGAGGAGGTGAAGAAAGAGGGGGAGCAGAGTCAGGGAGGCAAGCGTCGACCCCGAGTCGCTCACTCGTCGCCGATAGAGGTGTCGAGGCCCCATCACGACCATGAGACACCTGCTTCGTGTCTCGCTATCAGGAGCCTGTCGGCGACGCGTCGGCGGTGCTCGACACCTCGGACGCCGTGATATGTTCAAGACGTGGGCCTCGGAGCTCCCGACCCCTTCCCCAGGGCTAGCTGTTCGTATCGGATCGTTTCTGATTGACCCTTGGACCTGAAACAGGAGACCTGAAGGGGAAATGTAATTTGGAGAGGTTCCAGCATTGAGCGCAAGCTCGCGACGCTGGATGTCGGGGGGTATCGTCAATGCCAGGTCGATGTTGGCGCGTTTTTTTGCGGGCTGTTAGCGCAGTGCCACGTTGTCTTTGTGCATGTCGCCGACTGCTTCAGACGCCTTCGGCCTTGCAAGACAGCCCTCTTCGCATCCGCATCATTGCTGGGAATGGGGCTGTGAGCACTCATCGGCATCACACGCGGAGCCCTGGTGTACCCACAGTCCCTTCGAAACTCTCGAGGGGTGCAACCTAAGGATCTAGGCCGCTCGTTTGGTCGGCCCGGACCTCCCGCCTCCGCCTCCGCCTCCTCCTCCGCCTCCTCCGCCTCCTCCTCCTCCGCCTCCTCCTCCTTCGCCTCCTCCTCCTCCGCCTCCTCCTCTCGCCCAATGTGTGCATGCTCCACCGATCGTACGCAGCCCCTGTCGGCCTTCGTTGCGCCGCCTGCGTCGTGTTGCCTGGTATCGGTGGACAAGCACGCGCTGGCGCTCACACGTGTTCGGAGGACCATCGATCTGCTCCTGCTCCTCTCGTCCTCCTGTTTCTCTCTGTCTGCCGGGAGGGGGGTGAAAGAGATTTTTGATGAATGTAAAACCCACGACCAAAGCGGTAAGCGGGTGATCTCCAAAGGCAAATGTGTGCTTCACTACGGGTCACAGTGGCTCCCACCAGGCGCTTGTCATCCGGCACCTCTCGACATCGTCGTCGCCGAATTCTCCCGAATTCTCTTTTCCTCCTGTTCCTCCTGTTCCTCCTGTTCCTCCTGTTCCTCTCTCCCTCCTGTTCGACACTGCTCTCTTCCTCATGTTCCTCCTCCTTCTGCTCCGCCCAGCCGACGCACGCGTGCGATCGCGGCCGCCAGGGGGCCCCAGACAGGTAGGGCGATCGCGACCGACACGGCTTCGCACCCAGCCGCCGCCGCTGCTTGTCCCCTCGGCTCGGCACCACTGCCACGTGTTGGCCCCTTTTTGGAGATTGTGTGGTGTCTACCCTCTGGGCAATAACGCACGCCCCCCCTGTCCCCCGCCCCCTTCTCCCTCCCCGCATGACGTGACGCTCTCCCGCCCCGCCCCCCTGTAAGGGTACTATTCGCTTCTGTTTAACGGTCTGGTTTTCGTGTCTTGTCTCCTTTCTTTGTATTGTTTTAGATTTGTTTGGTTGATTCGTAGTGTGCAGAATGCCCTTTATGTGCTTAGTTATTCCTCTTTGTTTCTCTTCCACTCGTTCTGTGTAAGTTCTTCTCTGCGGCGTGTTTGAGCTCAGCCGATCTAAGGTTTTCGAACCCAACCAGAAATCACAACCCCCCCAACAAACCAGACAAATACATTACATTCGGATAGCACAGAAAAGCTTTGCTCATCACGGAATTGCGGAAAGATTGTGTTGTCACAGGTGCCCTCGATTCCCAACCTCAAAACGAATGGTTTTGAGTGCAAGATGTGTGGTTCTATTTGATGTATATGGAGCTTCGCCCGAACAAGCAGGTAGACTCCTCAGTAATACCTGTGCAGGCAGGCCACCTGGTCCCAATGTTGTTTTGGCTGGATAGAGATAAGATTAGAAGGAAGCATGTGCTTCTAATGCAAGACCATGTGGGTTTGGGGGGCGGGAACTCGTGGCCCCGGCGAAAGCACAGACTTTCCGCAACGCTATCGTTGGTTCGTATGTTAGCTTGAGCTCTGGTGGTGCGGTGCCGCACCTCGAAGGCTGGACTGTTACGCTGCTCAGTCTCTTGCAATTGCTGGCAGTAAAAAGGCGCACAGGATATATATATATATATATATATGATGTGTGTGTGGGTTGTCCTGTTGTTCGGTGGTGTTAAAAATTTGACAACCTGCATATCCCGACGACACATTCCAGAACCAAGAAGAAAACAGGACTCTCCTGCCGAAGGACCCAACCATCTGCAGTTGTCAGTGCCACAAGGCAGGTGGGACGAGGGAGGGGAAGTTCCTTGTGGGGCCACGAGACGTGCGAGGGGTATGCCGACATGAGCAGAGGAGAGCATGTGGACACCGCCGCGAGGCCTTCGGAGGAGCTCCGTAGGGGCAGGCAGCGAAACGCGCGAGGCGCGTGCCTAACTTGGCTGGGGGAGACGCATGCGATCACAGCCAGTGCGGCCTTTGGTGGAGCTCCCTATGGGGCCGCGAAATGCTGCGTTGGGAATGCTGAAACGGTGGACATGCAGAAGGCGGAGGCAGGGATGGGATGATGGGGAGGAGGGACGAGGAGGAGAAGGAACGCGGGACGCTGTCTCTTCAAAACGAGGACCCAACACCACAGGATGGCCGGAAACAAACACATGGAAAAGCAGACAGCATAAAGCCATTCATACTTTTGCGGAAAGGTCGTGTTGTCACATGTGCCATTAATTCCCAACCGTGGAAACCAATGAGTTGGACGTGAAACCTATGGTGATACTTGATTGTTACCCGTGTGCAGGCACAGGGGCCACTTTGTCCCAATATTGTTGTTGATGTGTGCGAAACGAATAGAGTCGCACGCATCCATATGTTTCAACATTAAACAATCGTATCTATAGGTTGGGAACCCGTGACACCTGTGGAAACACAGTCGTCCCGCAAGTTTATGATTGTAGTTTATGACTGTTTATTGCGCTGGGGGTGAGTTCTGGGGTGTTGGAAAGTTGACAGAGTTTGGATGCCCCGACCAAGAAATCCAGACCCCAGAAAACATTAACAGCATTGAGAGAAGATCAATCATAAAAGTACGGGAAGATTGTGTTTCCCCGTGTGCCATCTATTACCGACCTAAAGTGCCAATGGTTTTGTTGTAAGAACATGTGGCGTCTATTGCTGGCTAGGTTTCAACCGAACAAGCACGCATATTCTCCCATAGTCCAGGTGCACACACAGGGATCACTTTGTCCCAAGATTTGGGCTGCCTTTCGTCATATAGAGGAAACACAAAAGAATCCAGATGCTTTTACAGCAAAACCATTGGTTCTTTTGGTTGGGAACCCGTGGAACTTGCGAAAACACAGTCGTTCCCAAAATTCGTGATTGGTCGCAATGCGTTTGTATGTTGTGTGTGGATGTTATGTGTTTGGGGATGCTGGGAATTTGACAACCATAATCATGGGAGTGAAGCAGATTCCTGGATCAGAGGATTTCGAAATGATTTCCACGGAGACCCAACAGAAATTCAATTGGAATGTAGCAGCAACCAAATTCAGATGATTTCGAGTGGATTCGACTCAGAACCCAATGAGGGGTTCGATAGGTATAGCAGGCCCCAGTTCCAGAGGAATCTCATTAGATTTGAATAGGAAACCGATAGGAATGAAATAGGAATTGAAAGAAGTCCCAACTTGATAATAGTTGCATATAGTTTCCATTCGATGTCAGTCGGAAACCAGATGGCATCACCACCTCAA